ACGCCGATATTGACGGCCACCGTTAGTTCCTCGATCCTCCCGGTCAACGTCTCCATGAGGCGATCGGACGCTTCACATCGGCGAAAGAGAGCCTCAATCGCTGCATCCCTTTGCTCATCGGCGTTGTTTCTCCTTTGAGGCATCTGGGATCGTGGCTGGTCACTGATACCAACTGACGCAGACGAAAGCACAACGAGAGAAGCAAAGATAATCGAACGATAAAAGTTATTTTTTATTTTTCTTCAATCTGCCTGCTACTGCTGGCATACATCGGTTTTAAAGAAAAAGAGCAAGAGTCCTACTACAATCAAACCCTCCCAAAATAATCAAGAGATAAGTAGGAAAATTATTAAATAGCTACTTATTTATTTAAAATAAAAGAAGAGATAATAATAATAGAAATAATCCCAAAACAGCTTAGACGAGAGGCGCCAAACGATCATATCAGTCAAAAAATGCGAGTGCAATCTCGTCCTCATCAATGGGTCAATCCGATCCTCGTCAACAATAATGGCTCGATGTTTGGCCGGGTCTAGTCCAACTCCTACTGCGATTGATCCTGAAGCGGTCGGTTTTTGATAGCCCAGTTTTGCCCATATCGTTCCTCTTGTTACCGGTCAGCTCCTCGCAATGTGTCTGGGCCCCTGCCACGGGCTTAGCAACTCTTGCACAGGCCCATTATTTGTTCTTGTGCGTAACGGTCCGCCATTCACTATCTCCCGATCTTCCAGCGTTCCATTTAGGTAAGTATCCTCTCTCTCCAATTTCCTCCATAGATTGCATGCGGATTTTTCGCGATTTGATCTGATCCTTTAGCCCGCCTCGGTTGCACCCGTTGAGGGACCTGAATCCAGGGACCATACTGCGATGGAGCCCCATCGTCCGCCGGTGTCGCTTTGTTCCCGGCGCCGTCCCCACTCGCGGACCTTTCACGAGACTTGTCGATATTTAAATCTCCTTGGTTCGGCTGGAGGCGGAGCGTGAAGACACCAAGAGCTCGAGTGACCCAACCGACTACAAGTAAAGCAGATGACTGGCATGTTCGACCTTCTGTTGTCTACCACTAATGGAAAACTTAACACACAATGGCTTCGTAACATCTACCACCACCGCAAGTCTCGCGTATTTACCCAGCCGCTGTTTGCTGGTCGATTTTAACCACTTTGCCCACAATCCTCCCAATTGTACGGAAAATATTTTGATGATATAGGTGGGTCGGCATGCCCGGCAGCCGGATCCACGCAACCCTAGACGTAACTTCTTCTCGGGTAGCGTCGAACTCCAGGGTCCAAGGTTGAACGTGCATGTAACCTCCTCCAATAACATAAGGTCCCCCCGTAAGAACTTTCACCGCATCCTCCTGGAGCCTAAAGTGAATGAGTAACTGCTGTGTTTCTTATTCTCTTGGTATGATTTTATTTTGGCTATGTTTGATAAAATTAGCTGATAAGCTAGTTGATAGCTGATAAGCTAGCTTATAGCTTATATGTAATTTTTGAGCTTATAGCTTATAGCTTATGACTTATAGCTGAAAAGCTAGCTTATATAGCTTATGACTTATAGCTGAAAAGCTAGCTTATATGATAAAAGGTGTTTGGTAAACTAGCTGATAAGCTTGCTGAAATAAAAAAATTCAACTAGCTTATTTGAAAAGCTACCTAAAGTAGCTTATGAAATAAGCTCGAGCTTTTTAAAAAAGCTCGTCCTACCAAACGAGGCTTATTTTAAACAGGGAGCTTATAAGCTAACCAAATAAGCTAAAAGCTAGCTTATTTGGCTTACCAAACATACCCTTTGTTTTAAATGTGAAATTGCATTTTTGCATTCCCTTTTTTGACTTGATAGAGTGATCACAACAATATAGAGATCTATTCATTATAAACTGTTGTTCATTTATTTGATGTATGAAAGATAAACATGTCAATAAAAATAAATTAATTTCAAATTAAGATAAAGTGAAAGACTATATGTTGATGATGTCGTGCGTTGTTGTATCAGTATATTTCATGAATTACTCTCTATGGCTTCTAGGGTGATGTATTATTCTGTAATAATCTAAACATTCTTGAGTTCAGTTTGGTTATTATTGGGTAAACTTTGAGTTGAATTACATGGAGTTAATTTTGAATGAACGTCCGAAAACAGTATCTCTCTCTCTCTCCATAATCAACCCTCAAAAGTCCTCATCATCAAGGGTTGATCTTGTTATGGGTATTGACCATCTCCCCAGGTGCGCCGTGTAGTTGATACACCGGATCACCCCCCGGCCAGCAGGCCCGTCAGGAAACTCGACCACACTGATGCTGCCTGGGTTGAGATGAAACGATCCTAGCCACTCCTCTGTCAGGCCCAAGAAATGTCCCACCAGCCCAATGTGAAGAGCCGGGTGCCCAACTGAAACCACATTATTTTCAGAGTCAGGCCCATTCGAGAGTTCATCCAGTAAATGTTTCCAGCTCAGCCCGGCCTGCTCCCACAGTGCCATTCTCGTCTCATCCTCGTATTGGGTTAGCCAACCGGATTGAACAGTTTGGGGCCTCGTCAAGTCCTCCATTGCAAATACGAAAGCACAAGTATGTTTTAGTTGAGCCTTTTATAGAACTCACAAGGACAAAAGTTTCAAAAGATAACCACTAACTCTTGTCTTTAAGGATAGCCTAATTGCTAGGAATATGAATGTATAAATAAAATTATTGACAGAGAGAAAAGTTCTAAAGATGAATGGCACTGTGTATCAATGCAGAAAAAAAGAAAGAAAGAAGAAGATGAAGGCACTTTTCAGAATATGCGTAACTGAGCCCTCATTTCTTACTTGCTTTGTCTTATTAAGAATGTTTTCGACATCGAGGTCCGGCAATTGCTTCATTTCCACATAGCGCGGCACGCAATCAGCTCCCAAGCAGTCGGCGGCTTCTTGAACCTAATAATGAATCTCACAATTTTCACATATCATATTTCGAGCAATGCCATCTTATCAATTGTTACGCACAACTTACCTTGGAAATTGCATTTGCTGTTTCAACTGATGCTACAGCACAACTGCTGACTATGCAGCTCACCTTCACATCAAGAAGTAGCTCAGCAGTTTTCTGTGCCTGTTTTTATGTTTAAATATAAAATATCAGGTTAAAAAACATCAAACATCAACATCAACATACCCAGTATATTCCCAAACAGGTTGGGGTCTGGGGAGTCAGTTGTACGCAGACCTTACCCATGTAAATTACAAGGAGGCTGTTTCCATAGCGACCCAAGGTGCGTTGCGTCGTTTGATATATTTTTTTCTAGAAACTTCACTAATAGAAGAAGCACTAGAATTTAATTGGGCCATTTTGATCTAGTCCATTATTTGCACGACTCTTGTTCCATAATGGTACGGAACAAGAGAGTGAAATCCCCTAGTATATGAAAGAGTAAATACGTGCTTTCGTTGTTGTGGCCTAAGAAGCCTTCGTATCTTAATGCACCTATCTAATCTATTCGGATTTATTAGACCGGGATCCAATTTTCGGGGAAGATGCCAGAAGAATTGTCAACACTGACTCTTCCAGCTCCATTTGCAATGGACTCTTAAAAAAAAAACATCAAACAAGTTCAGGAAAAAAAAAATGTGTCACTGTCAGAGGTCAATGTTAGCCTTATACTTTTTGTTTGCAGGATTCAAGTTCTTCTAGTTTTTCTGTTTTTGTTAAGGATTTTGAACATTTTTTTTAATTTTTTTTCTTCTTCAGGTATTAGATTATTTTGCATTTGCTATTCAGTTCTTTAGGATTCCTTTTTCTAATTTTAAGTATTCTTATTTTCCTTATATTTGATGGTATTCCATTTTCGGATCTAACAAATCAAAAGACCCTTCAGACCGTGCGATAGAAGCGTACCTGTATTAAGTTTTAGGTGCCAGAAAAGTCATATACCTGTATTATGCCAAGCATGTTCATTGGGCTATCCCCAGAGTATGAATTTGTGCCCTGCTACAGAAAATGGCATTTCAGCTATAAATAATTAAAAAAAAAAAGAACTAAATTAACTACACGAAGAGAGATATAGTAAGAGCAGTGTTTGTTATTCAAAGCAGAAGTCCTGTCTTTATTATACCTGTTCATTCTGAGAAAGTCCATGACAGACGAGTATAATTCGCATATTTGCTTTCCTCCCTCCAGAGCTGCCACCGGATACAGGTGAACTTGGAGTCTGCATCATTACATATGTGTAAAATCACAGCATGAACCTTAAAGCAACCTACAAAACGCCGAAATTTTTATGTGTGGATATTCATACAGCTGAAAGAAGAAAGATTGTCCTTGATAAATGTAGTTATCTCTCTCTTTTGTTTTCCGGCTCAAATAATACTACCTACAAATTGCAAAGAAACAGAGGAAAACCACCACATACCAAGAACGGAAAGGAATTACTACCTAATTGTACAAGATATCCAGCTGAATAACTTCAGAAAAATGAGGGAAAATAAAAATGAATAGGAGCGACAAATGACAACTTTAATTATTTCAAGCACCACTTATGAGCAAGAGAGAGAGAGAGAGAGAGAGAGAGAGAGAGAGAGAGAGAGAGAGAGAGAGTATGCTGCTAACTACTTAAGTTAAAAAAGATGTTAACCACGTCTTTCCTATTATTTCATCCATTAGCACTTCATTCAACTAATCACCCATCGAGGTAACTCTGTCAGTACAGACATCCATTCAAATGTGCATAACAAATTGTATACCTGATTTAGACGGTTAAGGCATATATCCACAGATCCACCTTCGTGTTTTGGTGTGAAGTCCAGCACACTCACACCACAATTGCTCTGAAGCAGTATCCTGAAGTACTCGGTGCCCAGTCCTATTTACAGATCACAACAGAAGCTATAAATAAATTCAGGACCATTTTTCTCTATCAGCAGTAACATAAGCTCACATTCAGAAATTAAAGCAAAACAATACCCATTGCTGTGGCCACAAGAGCCTGGTTGACGGCATTATGAGCAACTACAAGTATTGATCTGCTTTCGTGTGTGAGTATCTTTGCCCAGCAGCTCCTAGCTCTCGACCACAATTCCCTCACTGGATAATGACCGTCAATATTGAAATTCGCTGCATCTATTTGCCATTGACGATAAGCAGCACCATATCTTTCTTTCCCTTCATTCTTCAAAAGGCCCTACAAATAGTAAATAAAGTGAAAGTTCATCTATTAGCCTTTATACGTACCGTAAAGTGTCATTTAAAGTATAATAGCATTATTTTACATGCCATTTAAATCACACTCACTTGAAACGAGTAGAGATCGATTTCCCTCAAGTTGGATTCCGTTATTATTTCCTCCTCTCGGGAACCCCATATGATCTCTGCAGTTCTTTTTGACCTTGTAAGTGGGCTGAAAGTAACAAGTGGGATAATGCAGTCAATATGTTAATCTATACAAATTGGTAAAGATATGTTCACACGAATAATAATTTATAATGTTCTTCAGGTTATGTGTTATCAATCACATTATCATTTCCATTTTTGCACAAGGGGTCCAACACAAGTCATCGACCTTTGTTTTTTAATAGCATTGCACTACAACAGAGTAAAAAAAAGGAGAACTGATCTATTTCATACACACAAACGCACACACGTTTATAGGGGGCTAATATTCATGTGTTTTGCACAGCTTATGTGAGGATATTGATTTTAACAAGCCATTTTGAATCATTTCAAGAGGAAATGTAAACATTAATGCCTAAACATAAAAGAAATCTGATAAAGAAATAGTCCATCCTTGTGTTGATACTTAAGATAAAAAATTGCCATATTTCAGCTAATCTGTTTGTAAATCCAATAACGATGAAAGGCCTGTCTGCAATCAATAAGTTGATCGTTAATTAAGTGTTTGTCTGGAAAAAAAAAAGTACTTTTAATGTTTCCATATACCAAATTCTCCTCCTAATTCTGATTAAATGAGGGAAATGATTCATGTTTCTGATTGACTGTTTCTGTCTGTAGTTTGATCGGTGTTCGATTTTTTTTGTTTTTTAACAGCTTGAGGTGTACAATCCTATAAGCATGTGTGTGGCACTTCAACTGTGGAACTCTTCTTTTTTCTCTTTCGTATGGATGGCAAAAAACAAAAAGGCTCTTTCTTTTCGATTAATTTCAGTTTTTAAAGTCAATTTGCAAAATCTTCCAACTTACACTAACAGTAGAAGAAATCAATCAATCTCATTACAGATTAACTTCTTCTGTCCCATCCAATGCCACAAATTTTCCCAGCAATTACTGCATCAATTACTTGAAAATGAAAAAAGACCAGCATTCAATTAATCAAGCTTAGGGTAACAGACCTGGAGAAGCAAACATCGAAGGTATCATCGAGAAGCATCTGGCGCGAGGTCTCGGCCTGAGATTCGCCCTTGAGGGTTAGCACCGAGAAATCGGAGCTTCCTTGAATCCGACCCTCCGCATTCCACGTGCTCTGCCCGTGTCGTACCAGAACAACCCTCTTCGCCGCCTTCAGCGGCGGCAGGCTGATACTCTCCCAGCTCGTCAATAGCTCCCGCCTCTCGTCGTCGGACAACACCGGTCGAGATATCTCGATCGCCGGCAGGCTTGAAGAGGATTTCACGGCACAGATCTTAAAGTGTTCGCCGTTTTCACGGCGCCGGCGCCGGCGGAGGAATTTGTTGGTTTCACAAAGGGGGAAAAGTTGGGTGTTCAACACAGTGGACAACATGCTTCTGGTTACGAATCTCTCTCATTTTTGGCGCTGAAATATGGATAGAAGATTTTTTCGGGTGGCCAGCGTCAATTATTTTGTCAATAAATAAATGACGCCCCTTATTTTTTTCAAATCTATATATATATAATTGCTAGCTTAACAATAAATTTTTACCTAATAAATAAAATTTAATAAATTTTATCTACGTGGCAAATTATTAAATAAAACCTAATAAATAGAACTTAATAAATTTTACTTATATGTCATTAATGCACTTATCTCATCTCATTAATAATACAGAATGCGCTGAGCCTACGTGGCTGCTTCCGGTGCTTCGGAATCCTATGTGGCAAAATTACATGCTTTGTTATTAGGCTTGAGTAAATTTTAATTTAATTCCAAATAAAAAATAATTAGGTTCGGATTACCATAAATATGTTGATTATTTATGGTCATGTTACATGTATTAATTGTATTTTAATATCATTCCTTATTATAACTATTGAACTGAATATATATTTTAAAAGTTAATAACTTTTGTATTTTTTATCAGTTTTACATATGTAATATATCAAATTAATTTTCTTTTGATGAGCTTCGATTTAATATCCATATTGTATGTATAAAAAAAAATAATTTATATTTATCTTTATAACAATAATAAAATTATTTTTAATATTAATTAGAAAAATAAAATTATTTATCAACTAATATATTTATATTTCAAGTAGTTATATGATATAAGTTATAAAAATTAATATAATATAACACATGTATGTCATAAGTAACATATATCATTCTAAAAGATATAGTAATATATTTTTTTTGTAAAAAAGTAAACTAAATTTAATATAGTTTTCTCATTAATTTTAAAATTTAAGAATAATTCTTTAACAAGCACCCGTGTAATACACGGGTGTTCATTAAATAAAACCTAATAAATAGAACTTAATAAATTTTACTTATATGTCATTAATGCACTTATCTCATTAATAATAAAATATTTCATTACACATGCACCCTATCTCATTAATAATAAAATATTTCATTACACTTTTTTGGGTTAATTAAGATAAAAACTATTATATTTTTTTTATAACTGAGTAATAATTATATTTTTTATTGAATCATATAATAATTAATATTAAAACTAATAATTATATTTTACATTAAATGAATATAAAAGTTACATAAAATTATATTTTACAATAAAATCAATATTTTTTTTTGTATGATTAAGGGATTGTTTTCTTAAATAAATTATTGTCATAGTAAAATTTTTCAAATTTAGATAAGCAATTTTTATAATAAATTTCAATATTTTTCAGCTAATTAATTGGTCATGATCATTAAAAATTACAAATATTATATTTATATTACATTTTATGCAATCAATATAGTGATTCGTATGCAATCAAATCGTATGTACTCTTTATTCTAACCAATTATCAAATTTTAAAATATAATTCTATTATCTAATTTATAATTTTATTATTATATGCATAAATATAACTTATAATACTATATATTTGAAATATTATATTATTATTAGAATTATAATTTTAATATTACATGCATACAA